GCTTCAGTAGCTTCGGTCTTGCATGGAACAAAGTATATCAATAAATCTATAAAGAGACTTATCGGACGCCTCACGGTCGAGTATTGAATAAATTAAGCCAAGACTTAAGCTTGGAGATGATTAAGGACCAGTTTGTTTCCATGTCGCCCAAACATCATAAATGAATTTTAACCAAAGTAGAGTTGCAACTTTGGCGGGTGTAATTTCTATGTTTTTTTTTTCTTGTTTTGGTTTAATATTTTTGCGTTATATAAATCTGATAGCATTTGTTCAAAGACGTGGAACCCTGTGCGCTTCTCATATGTGCTTTCAATAAAAAAAAGGGTGTTAATCTTAAACACGATATACCAGTGGAGGCACGGTGGACAGGAGACACATCCTTCTACACCAAATATCATTAACCATTTACAGTGAAAAACTACCCGAGACGGTCGACAATTTCCAAGCGAAATGCTAACCTCATTTTTTCGTTCTCATGTGAAATTATGATAATGCTTCTCTTTAGGCATTGCCTTTTTTCAAAGTCTCACGCGTAATTGTTTTTCCAAGTTTCATTTCTTTTCCACGTCGTAATATCAGAACAACTAATCAATCTTTATTACAATGAATGTATCAACGACGCAATATACACTTTCAAGTCAAACGAGTTCTTTCACGGCAACTTTTACCAGGACTTGCGAAAGCAAATTGGTATTTATCATACAATTTTCTTACCTTGGCTTGCATTCGTTTTACGAGTAAACCAAATTCCCAAAAAAATGAAAGTAAAAGCGCAGCAATTTACTGGAAATGACCTGAGATTCATTTCAAGCATGGAATAGCACCTCATCTACACTTTGCTGCCTACGCCTGGCTTATAAGTTAATATCAAAATTCAATTATTAATGATTATCAAAATTTGCATCACTGGTACCTGGAAAAGCTCGCCTTTCAGTTGGTACTTGAAGTCATTAAAATTTACCTGACGTTTCTTTGTCAATGATGACAAGAACTGCCAGGGTTGTTTAGCACGTTCGTGAGATCTTTAAATATTGTGCAAATTGCTAAGCTAAGGAACGTTTTGTGGTAATTTGAGAATGGTATAAGACTATATCACATGGTGAGAGGCTTACTCTTTTCATACTTGATTGAACGAAAATGCAATAGGTTTTGCTATTGAATAAATAATGAATTGCTTTTTGTACTTTTAACGCATTGACGACAGATCAAATACAGTATGAAAGTTCGGCAATGTAATTTCAAAGTGTTTTTTATATCAATCTGTTTTTATCTTTTGAATTATCATTATAATCATTATTATTATTCTGTTTTGAACACCAACGCCATTTTAGTAATTCATTTCAACATAGCTCTCATTTAAGTGTTGGGATGTCATCTCTGTGCCAGTTTGGATCGTTATGGATGGGAATGTTTAATTTGTTGACAAATAGTAAGCTAAATGAAAGCTTTAATCCACTACAACACGTTTCTCTTTAATAGTAGCCAAAAGAAATTGGGAAGTTCAAATATCTTTGTGTCTTTCATCATTTTTTACCACGTTTTGGATATTTTCCGATTGGGCAAACAAAAAAAAAATCACTAGTATTTGTATTCCAACAGACGGAAATTTCCCAATTTTCGAGAATTCCACGTTATCCAGTCGAAGAAAATCGGATTTCATTTTACCTTGCATTGTTATTCGTATTCGCTATACAGTAACTTTTTGCGAACTTTGGCCTTATGTCATTCCTTTTCACTCATCCGTCGAATTACAGCTCTATTGGTCAACCTTTCCAAAAAAAAATCGTCAAGTTTCCAGGCCGACAAATCGCCTGCATCATTAATAGGAAAATTTCCTTCACTATACTTTCGGTATCTGTGTTTCTCTTGTGGTGTAAAAACACCCAAGACTTCTAAGTAACACTTCAGGTCCCGTTAGTTTTGGTTATATAATTAACGAATAACCCACATCTTTTACTCACCCGAGTTCCACTTGAGTACTGTAGGTTCAGGAGCGAGTATTTTTTTTCCGCTTTGATTCGCGGCTCAAGCGCGAGGCCTATAATCTGGTCATGGTTTCTACAATGTATTTAAAGATAACGGAACTACATTATCAAAATATAAACAAAAATATGCAGTGCATGTGTGTTTGTTTTCTATCATCGCTAAATATCAGAATAAAGGAACATTGCACAACAAAAGATTATTCCGAAAGCTTTCTCACACCTACCAGCCAAAAAGAGGTCATTTCCAAGGAAATAAACAATGAAAGATGATGTCCTTCAGGGAATGACACAGGTATACTCAAGAAAAAAGAACTCGGTGTGCTACAATTAGGAGTCGGAGCTACGACCGTCCGATTAGTACTTCAGATGCTCCTCCACTGAGTTGTAGGAGACTCGTGGCAGATCGTTTAACTGAGTCTATGATGACAAACTTCCTTCATGCTGCTAGGAAATGAATGTCGATTGTGACGTGAGAAGAGCCTGTTTTTATTCATGGTAATTTGATTTGAAATTTGAAAAAATTGATAAAATGAAGTAAATATAAGGAAGAAGTCGAATTGATATAAGCAAGCGTTGGATGTGTCAGCAGGCTTAGAAGAAAGATAACATTATTCGAACAAAGTAAAAAGAAAACTGACGTCACCAGGCTGTCTACATATGCACATGATTCTCGGAAACGATTTCGAATAAACTCTCTTTCTAGATATTTTTAAATCTAGCGAAAAAGAAAAAGAAATGTGTACTAATGAAAAAAGTTAAGCAACCTTTTCACCGGTTTTATATGTTAAAACACACATACACATATGCAGATTTCTTATAAACCTGTAGTTCAAGCCTGTCATGACTTCAAAATTTTGATGCAAACCTCAAAAGGAGAAGAAATAAATTTTAAGTTTCTATTATTCAGTTTAGGTTTGTCAGGTAAAATTGAGTCAAACAAAGAAATTTTCACAACTAATTTATTAGGTTAGCCTACCTAGAACAATCAACTTAATGTACAAATAAGACTAGGTATGTACTGATGACGTACAAAAGAACTATCTGTGGTAAGAGGGCAAGCTTTCCTTTCTTCATTTAAAAAAAATTCCCAAGGTTATCATCTTTCCACATGCTCAGTGGAGAGTGAGAGTGAGAGTGCAAGAGACTGATAGTGACTATGCTATTTGAGTAAATATCCAGAGAAGGATAAAAGGCAAGATTATGGTCGGCACAACTTTCTTATTTTAATTTTATAAATTATCAAGCTAGGTCATTTATATTCTTGCTTTGTGCATTATGCGGATGCCAATTAATTTTACTTTCATGCAGGTCAAAGTAAAAACATGAATTAAAATAGCAGAGCCCACTTTAATTTTAGTCCTAATTGAAGAGGGATTTTTTCCTCTCCAGTTTCCCACCATTTAAAACTTACATATCTTGTGACCAATTCCTAATATCAATCTTTAGTTTGGGTATGAGTATTGATAAGAAACACCATGCATTAATGAAAGCTTGGGCGAGAGTATTTAATGCAATTCAAATAATAATATTACATGTTATAATGTGGCAACTTACACAGCAAAATTTTAAATCAATCAATAATAAATCAATCAATCACACAATTCCAAACCAGGAAATCAGGTAATTGACTAACTTGCTTCAACTTTTGAGGGCTTGAGGTACAAAGAAATAAATATGGTAAACAGTTACAATTAATACAAATTTGAAAGTTTAAAAGCTAAGAGATATACCTTACAATCATTAAATCCTATGCATTTTAGCAAAAAAGTATCAGTTACCACTATAACTTCTCCCAAACGTTCATACTTAAAGGAAAGCATTAACTTTTGTCACTAGGTGGTACTGTACTCACAATAGTTCTACTGACACAAATGCATTTCTCTAAAGTTATCTCATGGCTTATGACTCTACAGGTCATGTGGATGATTCCTGCTTGGAGACTGACATTTCAATTACCTCAGCAAACTGTAATCATCAGAATTGCAAACCAAGGTGTATTTACCAAGTGCTTGAGTTTCAAAAGTAGTGACTTATTTGTTGCAGTGGAGTTCACTCCTTTTTGAGGCCATCTTCAGCTTGATCATCCTGTTACATGTGAAAACATCAAATGTTACTCACATATTCAAATACTTGCTTGAATCAAAGTTATAATTTTTTTAATAACCTGCTTCCTTTAACCCTTTTATTCCTGATAGTGTCAAATTTCCCCTTTCAATATCACCCCTGAATCAAACATTAGGGTTATGAGAATAAAGGCAATAATAACAAACTAAAGAATCCCTGCCAGCACATAACAAAAATGTATTGAGAACAGTAAGGAGAATATGCATACTGATGTTACGGTGTAAAGGTTTTATAATGCCCACCTACCCTCCCCTAGCCCAACATTAACCCTCACTTGTGATCAATAGACTGTTGTTGGGTTAGGGGAGGGGTAGGTGGGCAGTTGCCCAGATGCTGATGTTGATCCAAAATATAAGGCCATTGATGGCCAAATTTCACAGTGGTTAGCCAGAAAAAAAGCAACAGTATTCAATGGAAGACTGGCAAAAGACTGCCCAGGGTAAAAAAACTGTGCACCAAATAGAAAAATGCAAATGTTGTCTCTTAACAACACCAGTACAGAGTAGCCTCTTCAAAAAAAGGACAGGTTGTGTGGTGAGCAGAAGGGAGGCATCCACAGAAGTAAAAAGTTGAGCCAAAGAGCTTTCAGGAAAAAAAATCTTCACACCAACACAAAAAGAAGTGAAAAACATAGGGTCAGTAATATATAAGGAATTCGACTCTGTATGTAAGGAGCAACTGGGAAAGTCCTTTGGAGAAGTAATGTCCATGGTTCCCAAGGCTGGGTGACAAAGAAAGTTTCACCTGTTGAGGCCAAAAAAAAAAAAAAATCTGTAAAGAAAAGAGGAAATTTTAAAAAAAATGTAGAAAATTCAAAAAAAAAAAAAAAAAAATGATGTCAACCTTCAAATGGCTCAACAAAATCTTTTCGCAGCCAGGAAAAGGCAAAGAATGGTAGAATGTTTTGAAACCATTGATGAAGCCAAAAGGAGGGTAAAAAATGCCCCCAAGCAACAGAAGAGGTCGTACATTCTCAGTACTGTGGATGGAAACCTAGAGCAGCTAATGCTGGATGTGAACGACTGGAAGACTGTGAACTGGTCTGAGAAGGCCAAGGAGTATCAAATAAGAAGAAAAGGGGCAAGAGTTCCACCACCCAATGCTGGGCAAGTCTTGAAGGAGTACCTAAAGTCCTGGGGAGTTAACCCTGATACATTTGATCAGAAAAAGAGGATGGATGGATGGATGTTAACAGAATTTGCTGTGAACAAAAAAATGACAAATAACATTGTCCAGGAGAAGAGGAATGAACAGCACCAGGAGCTGAGATCTCTCTTTGCTTAAGAAGAGAAACAACTTATTACTGCCCCCTCAACATTCCATTACCTCACTCCTACCCCCTCAACACTCCATTACCCCACTCCTACCCCCTCAACACTCCATTACCCCACTCCTACCCCTCAACACTCCATTACCCCCTCCTACCCCCTCAACACTCCATTACCCCACTCCTACCCCCTCAACACTCCATTACCCCACTCCTACCAGCTCAACACTCCGTTACCCCACTCCTACCCCCTTAACACTCCATTACCCCACTCCTACCCCCTCCACACTCCATTACCCCACTCCTACCCCCTCAATACTCCATTACCACACTCCTACCCCCTCAACACTCCATTACCCCACTCCTACCCCCTCAACACTCCATTACCCCACTCCTCCTTGTCCCTCTTTGCCTTTTCGGCTCTCAAAAGTTTGTGAGATATCAAAGCCATCATATGCTGTGGCTTTCAAGAAAGGCATACGAATTATCAACAACCTACAAAATCCAAAGTACATGTACCACAGAAGGCAGGTGTATTCCCATTGTACTCACATAAAATGCAGTAATCTAAACCTTTCATTTAAACATGCACCAGCAATGAGAGCCATGCTAGCCCCACCCAAGACCATGACTATTCGTAAATTGTATGGTATCTACTATCACAGTGCTGTGCATCATGCTTCTGTCATCTTCATGCTGGTGTGTCTTTCATTCATCAATGCTAAGTTATTGGAAAGGTTTTTTGACAGAATTGTAGCATAACAAGAAAGACATGGAGCAAACATGCTGAAGATTTGGTGACAAATGTATTTCTTCACATACTGGGAGAAGATATCACTGTAGAGGAAAATACAGTCAGCATTCAAGAATGGGAAATTACAAAGTTGGCAAAGAGGTTACCTGACAGAGCAAACACAACAGTAAGTAAAGACCTTTTTAACGAAGAAGGCAAGATTATGGCAGGCTCAGCTGGAGGTAATAGGTGATTTCCTGCTTCCAGGACCAGGGGTTTGGTGGCACTGGAAAGATGATGGTTCCATAGAGTTCCATGATGGTCCTAGTGAAGCCACACATCACCCAGAGGGTCCTCACATCTTTCATTTCAGATCTAGTTTGGTCAAACCCATTCAAACCAGTTTGGAGACTGCTTGGAAACAATATTCTGAGAAACCCGAAGAACTGCCTCTACACCAGCTGAGAAGTAAGAGTGGGGAACTAGTTTACAACAAGTTACATCTCAATGATGACAGACCTTCAGCTGCTGAAGAATGTCAGATAGAAGAAACTGATCTCCGTACCAAACCACAATGTATTTTGCATTCAAGTTATTATAGTAGTCAATGATAAAATGTCAGGGAAATGAAACATGTAAAAATGTACATGTACAGAAAATGTGAGGGAAAATTGTATTTTTTTTAGAGAAGAATCACAACTTGAAAACTTACATGACCACATACAGAGTGACATAAAACAAGGAAAGGAACAACAACCTCAAGAAAATAGCAAAGAGCCTCTAGAGCAAAACCAACTTCCACAGCTTTCAGAGCACGTGATTTGTTCTAGATCAGATGAAAGTAACCAGTCCCTCACTTCAAAAACAACAAAAGCAGCAGAGGTTGCACTAGGTAAAACACCTGAAGTGATACAGCTTGAAAAATTGTGCAACAACCTCAACCGCAACCCCAAATCCAGATATTGTGCCAACAGGTATGAAAACCACCTGGCAAAAATACAAATTCTTGTCCCGAAGGCTACTAAGCAACTACAGTCTGATATAAAATTATGGGAAGCAACCTTCTTGATGTAGAATAACTGGCTTCCCAATGCTAATGACTATGAGTTATCAGATGAGGTAACAAGTACTCTACACGAGAAAAAAGTTGCTCTGAAACTGCTACAATCCTGGAGGATTACAGTACATTTTATAAAGTATTTTAATCAAGCATTCTTACATTATTTTATTCCCTTAAATGATTTAGTGAGGCCATTTGAAAAAGGTAATAAGTTGCTTGAAAGTGATTGTTGTCCATCATTTTTACCACTGAAAGCGTCGGATTAAGAGCAAATTTGTTACTGGTAATTAACACTTATTTACTAATCGCTCACCTTCATCATAAGCAAGTCAAAGATTATGTTTGACTGCAACATAGCTGTGCTGTTGAGCTATCTTGTCCCTATGGATTGAAAAAAAAAAATACACTGTGAACATGAAATTACAAAAGAAGTCTCATGCAACAGTTTTTACTTAATTTACATTACTTGACTTAAAATACTAGCATAACTTAGATGGCTTTAATTTCACAAGTTGCACAACATGCCCTGACGAATGTGGAAGTTGTATAAGGATGTGAATAAAAATCATAGTTAAGAAAAGGTAATGTTCAGATTCCTATTTACCATGTTCATGTATGATTGAGAATGTTTGTGTTATTCGTAACAGGCAGGCAAATCGAAGTCATTATTAACTAAGGTTAAAGACGACATCCCAATTTAGTTTGTCACTTCTCTTGAGATCGATTCAATCTAAACCATATAAATATGTACTTTAAATTTCGCTGCACACGTATAAGAACACATCTGTTGACGTGTAGTTTTTTGCTCTATTTATATCTCATTAATTCGAAATTTACATGCCTTGTAGACTGAGTTATAAATTCTCTTTGTTGAAGCTCACTTAGATACATTTACCCACAAAAGTGTTGTACTGTAAATCGCCGTTAAATTTCTAACTCGGGATTTAGCCAAGGCATTTAAATTTGATAAACAAACGAAATTTACGCTACGAGTAAGTTTTCACTCCGCAGTTTATCAATTTCCACCTCATCCTACGCTGACGAGAATGGAAAATTTCCGAAACATACCAAAACTTATCCATAATTTAGTAAACGAAAAAATGCACTTTCCTTGAATGAAACGTTTGTTATTTGAATTTACGCCTCAGAGCATTATGGTAGCTACGGCAAATTAGAGCTAATTTGTCGAATTAAACACAAAACTACCACTCACCTCAGCTGTAGACCCCACATCTGCACGAAAACAACGTATTCTAAAAAAATTTTCGGTAGATATCCATCTTCGCCTCCTCAAAAGCGTAAACGCTCTCTGATCTTAACTTCGAATACGCCATGCATACGCGATACAAGCGACTAAATACAGGAATGGTTCCGATCTGTAATTGGATGATAAAAATAGTAAAAGTTAATAAGTTACATCTTAACTCCTTGCTCGTGAGTATTGTTAACCGCGTATCTCAAAGCGGAACAATGAAATATCAATGCGAGTGAAAACGCAGATGTGTCAAACAAGAAATGGTTACCTACGTAGCGAAGGGATGACAGACTTTCTTGTTCAGCGAGGTCGTTCAGCTATATCCCAACGACGAAAAAGTCATCTGCTGACTAGCTCTGCTGACTAAACTCATTTAGTCAGTTCAGGCGGACGACCAGAGACTAAAGTAATTCCTGTATTTCACCGCATAGTTCCGAATCAAACCTTTATTAATTATTTTTTTCAATAATTTTTTTAACAATTTTTTTAAACAATTTTTTTAAAAAAATTTTAAAAAATTAAAACTAAACTAGTGAGCAGCGCTGTGCGAACAGTAGTTGTAAAACTTCTTTATTCTCTGACGCGTTTCGTCTAACTGTCGTAAACTTCTTCAGGTAGTTTTACAAGTTAACACTAAACGCCTACATTTATAAGCCATTGTTAGTGGATACTGCGGGGGCCAATGACCATAAGGGCTTGGCTGGACCTACGAGCAGGAATAGGCAAAGTTTTGAAAAATTTGAAAATTTCTTTTGAAAATTTTTTAGGCAAGGTGAGAAATATTTTTGGGAGCCACGGTCTTAGCTAAAAATTTTGAAATTTGAAAAATTGAAGCGGTTTTTTTTACAGATGATGCCTGGCAAGCAGTTGGCAAATTATGTTAGGATGGCTCTTGTAATTTACAGAAAATGTGGTTTATGTTCTACTCATTCTTTCTTAAGTTTAAGTGGTATATATGCCTTGTCTAAAACAGTAGTGTGATACAATAGCAAACGAGATATACTCGTTCCAATACAGCGTCATGTGATGAACAGCCTTCATTAATTTTAGAACAAGTTCTATAAAATCATTTTACCCTTTCTTGTTATAGCCGAAAACTGTTCGAAAATCGGTTGTACCATCATTGCAAACAGTCAAGGTACTTTGACATGATACAGTGCCAGAGCTACTACCACTGGTTTGACTGGTAAGACGTTTTTTTGGGTTTGTTTGTTTTTTTTTTTTTTCCTTTTTAGGTCTAATGGAGTTGTTAGAAATTACCAAGCAAAATTAATCCGCGACTTTCTTCCTTTAGGTGTTATGCAAAAACAGATGAAGAGCACGTTTGTGGATTTGTCCTTCACGTGAACAATAACCTAGAAAATCAGTTTTCCGCGAGAAAAAAATCCCTCGATTGCGGCCAAGCCATATTTCTCCAGCAGAACATACAGTAAATTAAAAACGTCGGTAGCAGCGTCACGCAACATTGCGTGATTTTCCAAACGTGACATGCAGTTGCTCAACTTAGAGACTCTATGGCCCTGTAGTAATAAAAGAGGGCTTCATTTGCAAGCACTCTAGACTTCAACATAAGCAGAACCTAATAAATCGCTCTTTCAGCTTTTATCTCAGCGTATAAATTATTTAGCCGGAACTAAAAAAAAATTAATATACACGTGAGTTGGAGCCATTCCTGTCTGCGGTGAAATACACGAATGGCTCCAGTCTCTGGTCGTCCGCCTAAACTCACTAAATGAGTTTTGTCAGCGGAGCTTGTCAGCAGGTGACTTTCTCATCGCCGGAATATCGCTGAACGACCTCACTGAACAAGATCGACTCTTCCCTCTCTTCGTTATGTAAGTAGCCATTTCATGTTTGACTCATCGGTGTTGTCACATTGATATTTCATTGTTCCGCTTCGAAACACGCGGTTAACAATACTCACGAGCAAGGAGTTAAGATATAACTTATTAACTTTTATTATTTTTAT